TTTTGAGGCAGCCGACGTTGGAGTTTTACTGGAGTCTGGAGATGAGGAGGACGCGGCAGACGCGAATGCGGGAGGACTTGGAGCCTCAGGCGCGAAATGAAAGGTGGACAACTCCAGTCTCCGACAGACAAACGAACCTGTGGCCCTTCGTCACCTCCGACACAATGGAGCCGACGGCAGACGGTCTGCCCACGAACCACTTAAGATGAGCACGCTGGGGAACCATCATGTGACAGAGTGGCAAGCTGCCTAAACTGACCTCCAAACTGCATCTGTATGGACGGGCTTTCGTCGGCCCAACAGGCGTTATCTGGATGCGCCAAAAGCCTCACTTCTGCAGTCACTTCTGCGGTCTGCATGTAGAATCGCGGGGCTTGCGGGCGCCGCGCGGGCGGCAATGGCGTGCGCCTGGCTAGGGGCTGTTTCTCTCGCCCAAAACGATGACGTCTGTGGTCGGCCCGTCCCACTTTGTCGGTTTTGAGCCGGGCGGACGACTTGATCGGATTCTTGGTCTCGGGAGGCATTGCGATTGTGGCGTCGGAAGCAGGCCGAGGTGAGCATAGGTGAGCGTTGGCAGATGTCGTTTCCTTGAAAACAGCTCGCTTTTGACTGGTCGTCTTTCAAAGAGCCTCCTGTTTCACCCAGGGATAATTACCACGGAATTTACTCCGGGTGGCAAAGCTGACCGCTCCATTGGTAACAAGTCCTTACGGCGTAGATGATAGGCCTCACCGCAATGATGTCTGGGGGTAATAATGCTCAGTTGCGCGCTTAGAGTAAAATCATTTCACCAGGTCTTTTTTCTCATCGAGTATCATTTCAACCTGAGATGTACCACTTGGGCATCAAATAAGAGTGGTCATCGCTGGATAGACACATCAAACCCATAGCTGGCTACTGATGCTCTCACCATTTCGATTGTAGTCAGACATACTCATGTAAGCACACTGATCGACATATGTACTCGTGGTTCTCCTTTGAAAAAGGTTGAAGTCGAGACCATTCGCAGCTCCAACAAAGACGACCCGTCGTTCGGAGCTCCCCGCCTACGGCACGCACCGGCCAAGGTCCCGTTGAATAAAGCTATTGCGGGTCCTCCACACCGACGTCACCGAGTCCTTTTCGGCATCATGGGTCCACGCCTTGGCTCATTGGGTGGGGATTAAAACTTCGACTTCAAGGTCTCGTTGACTGTGAAGGGCCTACGTCACCAAGGAAAAGTCGTAAAGCAGTGAAGTGCCAGCATTGTGGTATGGCGGTTGCTCAACTTGATGATTCAATCGAATGCAGCGGTCGTTGCTAATTGTTGATGTGAATTATGCATTATCAAAATCACAATGAAATTTCTTGCTCATTTTTTGTAAATTTCATTGCAACAGATATTTACCATGAACCTCAAGCAGGATGCCCCACGTCAAAGAAGGTATTTGAGTCTCTGCAATGGCATTTGTTAGTTTCTGGTACTCTCGCACCTCTCGCACGCATCCATTTGTCTCACTCTATGACATTCAAAAATGGTTTTGCTGCTCCGGCAATGAGCCATGTAAACCTCATACCAGCATGAAGACACTAGTTGCGACGCGTAACTCATCAACTGCCTCGAATCCCACTGTGGAAAAGGTAACACATGAACCTTACTAGTCGATGTATGAACATTGAGTGCTATTCTATTCTCGACTCTTCGTATACGTTAGAACAGGTAAAAGCTATGAAATTGCGATACGACGAGGCAGTCCTATTGTCCATTGAGGTTGGGAAAGAGAGATAAGACGAATAGTCCGGTTGCAGTGGCGCCCCGTGCGCCATCAGTGACCCGGCACTTTCAAGAAACTCGGGGTGTCTGATGAAAAGCCTAGGGTCGAGTTTGTATCTGTCTAGTCGGGTCTCAATTTGTAAATGATTCGCAACGGCCAAGGCAACACTCGGCACATTGAAAATGTCCGTTGCCTTCGATGTCGGCAGAGGCGCCGGTCTCTCGCTGGAGTCCTCATCAATGGCCTCCATCGCTTTCACGAGATCCATGACCTTAATGTACACCTGCAGAGGAGGTGCGTCGATGACCAAGTCACTGAGGAGAGTCTCGACAGCGTACATACTGACGACATCGCTGACAACTTGATCGATGCAAGGGTCACCCGCATGGCAGCGAACGAGGCAATCACGGATGGAGGGGAAAGGAAGCCAGTCAACGACGGCAGGATAGCTGCATGACAGCTGCAGCAGAGTTGGCTGGTACTGCGGGTGGAGCTTGTTGAACGTTTCCTCGCAAGGGCGGATTTTCCACACAGTGATGTCTCGGGTATAATAGAACCTCGTTTTAGTATACCAGAGCATGACATCCTGCCGAGAAATAGTGTGAAATATGGATAGAGCCGAGGTAGTGGCTAAATAAAGCCTAAAGCCCGTTAGCCAAGGACCCTAAGACGAGATGACATTGCTGACAATGGTAAAGATAACTGCGCCTTGGGTTGCTCTGTCCTGGCTTTGAGCTCGTGTTGTATGAAATCGATGTGGTCAGAGAATGATGAATTTGACTCGACCCAAATCTGGCGCCGCGAGTAGCCCAGGTCCTGGGAAGAAACCAGGGCGTCATTGTAAACTTGAGGCCCCATTTGATATTCGAATGACCAAATGTTTGGTATTTGTTGTGTCATTCCACAGGTGATCATGGGTCCTCCGAGGTCGGATGTAGGTGGGAGGTCAGCTTCGAGGCATGGGTTTGGCTCGTCTGGCTGTGCTGGCTGGGCTGGCTGCGCTGTCTACTCCTAGCCTTTTAGTTATGACAAATTTTACGCACATAAATAGCCAAATTCGCAGGACATACCGATGCATCGTTTTGGGAAATTGGTCGGAGATCTGCCGACGTGGGCTGATCGTCCACAATGGGTTGAGAAGCAGAGACGTTATCATCAGGGGAGTTTGTTCTAGAGACTTCATCATTTGCGTCTTCATGTCTCGGAGCCGTGTTTAGAACCAGAGCTTGGACGCCAGCGAGTAAGCTATTGAGCTTGGCGTGCGCTTCCGCGAGTTGCTCCCGGAGAGCTGTATTCTCACGTCTCAATTTAGCCAAAGCTTCGCTCTCATTTGTGTGATTGTTATCCGCTCGTTCGCGGAGCTCGCGGATCAGGTCATCCCTGCGTCGACGGAATGCCTGTTGCGACAAGCGATTGCGCAGTTTCCTAGGTCGAAGTGTTAGTTTGCAATGGCGCCGAATTTATTCTTTCCGGGAACGAACTTTATGTCCTGAGAGGTTGCGTTGCCGTTCGCCTTCTTGCCCATCGCATACAGCTTGTTAAAGACCTCAGGTGGGATGGGACGGAAGAGGAGGTAATGTCGAGAATTTCTACTGGAAACGCATGACTACAGTTCCAATGACTAATATCCCACACGAAACATTTCTTCCTCCCACCACATGTCCCTTGTCAAAGTTCAACTTAATTACTTCTTATTGGCTGTGCTCGAATGCGCTATGCTGCGAGATAGACTTAGTCTTATTTTACTGGGGATCAATGCATTTTGTTTTCGAAGAAGGAGCCCCAAGCCGGTCTTCGACAGCCATCAATTCCCCCAAGCCAGCCCGCATCTCCGACAGGGAAGCTTCAGACAACATCTTCAAAGGCCGTCGGGGGCTGCCTCCGTAGCCGAACAGGTCGTTAAGCGCGGCTTTTGTACCCGATATGCCTCGCGTGGTATGTTCCCAGTCGCCTTTCGCCAGAATGGCCTGCATCTCTCTTGCTTCCTCCACTAGGCCCTCTTGCCACAAATCGAAAACTTGGACGCAGGTCCGCGGGGTAACGTTTGCACCGCCTGCAATGACACCAGTGGCACCTGCAACAAGAGCAGGAAGGATGAAGTCTGCCAAGCCACCAAAGAGGGTGTAAGACTGGCGGGACTTCATCGCCGTGGAGACGCGACTTAGTTTACCAGTATTACCACAGGTGAACTTCGCTCCCACAACGTTGGGGTGCTGGGAGATGCGACTTAGAAGACCCGAGTCCATCTCGATGCCAGCAGATACGGCAGGAAAGCTATAGAGAATAATCGGAATCGGGGAGTGATCCGCAACGTCGGTAAAGAAACTCTCAATGACTTCAGGGCTCATGCCTTTGCTGAAGTAGGACGGCGGTAGAACAAGGGCGTAGTCACTACCAGCTCGGCTGGCCTCGTTGCAGAGATGAACGGTTCCTCGAACGGAGTGTTCGGAGCAGCCGGAAATGATAGGAGTCTGCTGCTTTCCAATGCTGTCGAGGGCATTGCGGGTTTCACGGATGATTGTGTTCCGCTCCTCGATAGAAAGGTGAGGTGCCTCGCCGTTGGAACCCATGACCACAAAACCAGCGATCCCCGCTTCAGAGAGCCGGATAGTGTGTTGACGCTGAGTTTGCGTATCGATGCTTTCGGTTGTCTTGTCAAAGAAGGACATGGTCGCGGCGAAGATGCCGCGAGGCAACGCCCGTGTAGCGCGTTCCATGCTGTAGTCTGTGTAATTCGAAAATCAACGGATACTGGGAGATGATGAAGAGAAATCCTAACGTCACCATCTAGTATATATTCGTGACTATTAGTATCATTCATGAGGGAATTCGTCAGCGACCCGAGTATGTCATTGATCGATGACAAAATCTCACCTAGTTTCAGCCAGCACCGCACAATTCACCTCGTCTTCGCACGTTAGTCATTACAGCAGTACGTAAGTCCGACTGCCGATTATTGTTGTACGAATAATGCTCGCGAAGTGGTCTGCGCTGCTATAGTTCTTTGCTATGGGCCGCACCGTCACTCTCAAATTACGTTAGTCATTCAAGCAGTACGTAAGTCCAATGATTGTCATGCTTGCCAAGCACTAGCTCTAGCACCCCGTCCCATACTTTCATTCCCCGTCTAGCTTCAAATATGGTACCCTAACCTAGCTTTATAAACCTGTCACATTAGTTTTCTACTAATTTGTGCGTTGTCAAGTGTCAACTCTGACTCAACGCTTGGGGAATTCAATGTCAACGATGCTTCTCTCAACACGAGCCAAATCTGCCGAAAACGCAAGCGACGCCTTGCACATCTGGAAAGCTGTGGATGATCTCTTTCATCCTACTGCCAACCCTACGGGCTTTGCGACATTAGGCGTCTCGGAGAACACGCTGATGTCCCGAGAGCTATCAGAGCATCTGCACCGGAACTTCAAGCTCCCAAGTCATTCACTCACCTATGGAGATGGCATGACTGGATCCAAGAGGATCAAAGCGGCATTGGCGACATTCCTCAACCGTCACTTGCACCCCTTGAAGCCCCTTGAGTCAGCGCATTTTACAATCACAAACGGCTGTAGCTCTGCGATTGAGCACCTTGCCTGGGCTGTAGCAAACCCCGGCGACGCCTTTTTGCTTGGCCGGCCTTACTACAATACCTTTGTCCCAGATCTGATTCTCAGAACTGGTTGCAAGGTCATTCCGGTGGCCTTTGACAACACCGATCCCATAGCCCCTGGGGCATTTGGTCATTACAAGCGTGCCCTTGAATCCGCAGCCGCAGAGGGCCAGCGAGTCACAGGTCTCATCATATCGAACCCACATAATCCTCTCGGGAGATGCTACTCTCGCGCCAGCCTCCTCAGCCTTATGAGATTTTGCTCCGAGAACGATATGCACTTCATCAGCGACGAAGTATACGCCTTGTCAGTCTGGGAAGACAAAGTAGACCATGAGTCCGAATCAGCGCTTTTCGAATCGTGTCTATCACTCAACACAGACGGCGTACTCGCTCCCGACCGAATCCATACAATCTGGGGTATGTCGAAAGACTTTGGCGCGAACGGACTGCGGATTGGGGCTGTCATCTCCCAGTCAAATCCGGCTCTGCACAAAGCTTGAGTGGCTGTAGCTCTTTATAGCTCCCCATCTTCTGCATCAGATCATATTGCAGCGAATATCCTCGAAGACGAGAAATGGTCAGACTCTTTCATCCTAGAAAACAGGACCAGGCTTGCTAGCAGGTACCAGCTTATCGTGCGCTGGGCGAATAGCCACGGTATTCCCTACGCACCCGGCACGAACGCGGCGTTCTTCCTATGGGCTGATCTCGGGAGTGTTTGGAAGAGGCACAATCCTGGAATTGTAACCGATGAGGAGCTAGATGATTTCCTCATAAAGCTCTTCTTGAGCCAAAAGGTCTACGTTTCTTCCGGGAAAGACTTCGGGTCTGAGCGTACTGGATGGTTCCGTATTGTGTTCTCTCAGGATGAAGTTCAACTGCTGACTGGACTGGAACGGGTCGCTGCTGCTCTCAAGTCTAGAGTAACAGTGAACGTATAAGTAGTTTTGACATCAATTGAAAGATTTCACACATTTGCAACGTCAAGCTGATGTTACATTCGTATTAATCATGCGATACAGGGTGCGCATCATTTCCCTGGTCAAGTAGTCTCAAACCTTTTCCGATCCTAGTCGCGCCCCTGGCCGTCGCCAGGCCAGCCCGCCTTCTTTATCTTCCTGGCCATTTTATTGGTCCAAATCAGAGTCAGGCTCGGACTCATACTCCCAGTTCATGTTTCTTCTCATCACGGACATGTTCGACGGCCCGAGGCCGATCCAGTTGAGCTCTCGGTACCGCTCCTTGAGAAGCGCGAAGAATTCAGCGGGCTCGTGCACATTGAATCCAGCGAGCCGCCACCCATTCGCCGGGTCGCCGCGAAACCGCTCCAGGGTGCTGTTCAGAGCGGATGCAGGCTCGTCATGCTGTCCGGTCAGTTCTCCCCAGTAGATATAATCGTCGGCGGTGTCCAGAATGATCTCGTAACCATTTCGGCTTCTGCAGATGGCGATTACGGCGCACGACGGGAGCGGCGGGTCCTGACCAGTGGTGGCCGCCACCAGGCCTTCAATGTAGTCCTCGCGGATCTTATTTTGCAAGTCCTCGCTACGGTAGGTAGTCAGTGATGGGAGTGTCTTTCATGATGAACGGCGCTAGGACGATATTGTTGCCAGGAGAGTCAATGTAGGGCATGTGGCGCAGGAGGTCAAGAACAGTGCCGTTTCTCTTGAGGGGGCCTAGAGTTTCCTGGTTGATCGAGGTCCAGCCGCCGAACGGCGCCTGCGCGACAGTAACGTTCCAAAAGACGCGGTCGCAGGAGTTGTCGTAGTCTGTTAAGAGACGCACGAACTCGTCTCAGTCGTACTTCATGACTGGGAACTGGCGGCCGTTGCAAGTGCAGAGTTTTGTTGGTGGATTGAAGAGGCCTGGGATCGGTTGACATTGGAATTGATCGTGCCCAACCATAGGCTGGGGACTCTCACAGGTTGGTAGACGACATGTGGATTAGGCTACGCCGAACCCGGGCCGCAAGATACGAGGGCGGGAGAAGACATGTAAGCCCTCATCAGGGGTTCTTCCATGCCAACTGTAGATGATGTATCCTGATACATACACAGGGTTCCATGCCCAGAGACACAGCTGGCTAAGCCATCAATGCTAAACAGCGTGCATACTGACAAGATTCTCATGTATCTAAGAGTCTTGCGAATATGGAGGGATACGTATGCGTTTCTCAGATATTTTCCGGTGTCCTTGATAGTATCTTGTGAAGTTTGCATTTCACAGTTGCTTTAGTGATACAGCTACTGTTGCGCTGCGTACCCGATGAGGATCTTCAATGGTAAGAGGTCACAGCCTGTCTAGAGTGGTCTTAGTACGAAGGTCGGACTGACTGCCAAAAGTCATGCAATTAGAAATACATATTGAGAATGAGGTTTACTAACCGGGCAGTGTCCAACGCACATAACCCCTTACCTAGTATTTCAAAGCGATTGAATCTTTCTCGCTATCATCGTCGCTATCATCGTCGCAATCGCCATCGCTATCGTCGTCGCTATCGTCGTCGCTATCGTCGTCGCTATTGTCATCGCTATCGTCGTCGTCCATCGTCGTCGGCTATCGTCGTCGTCTATCGTCTTCGTCCATCGTTAGATCGAAGTATAAGTATACTGCGATTAAAGTCATAGGGGGCACTACCCAGATAGCCAACTGACACTACCCAACTAGCAAGACTCTTGAGAATAAATAAATCTACGTAGCTTTCGTCTATGCGAAAGTGAGCTGCAGGTAAGGTTAAGCAGCATTGCTAATTTAACGTATAACTCCGACTAGCGCTAGCGAGAAAGCCTGTAGCTGTTTAATGTTTGAACTGCACTTTAGGCTTGTATTTAGATGCTAGCTAGATTGGACACCAAGCTCGCTAAAGTCCCGCCCTCTCTTCACAACCATCAATACCACCAGTCCTACATAGTTGCATTTGAGATTGTAAATCTTGAGCTGGCAGTCTAATGTAGACCTCCATTCCAGATCATTTTGCTCGCTAAAGATGAACGTGAGTTTCCTCCACCAATCGTAGGACTATTCAATCGAGAATCCAGCAAGAGCCTCGAGAGTGGAGTTGTCAAACTGAGAAGCATCCCAAATAGTGGTGACCTCGGTGATGAAACCCTCAGAGTTCAGCAGAAGAGCTGTGATTCCGTTGTCGGCCCCGCTTCCAGAGCGACCTTTCCACTCATAGGCTCCACCCACGGCACTTCCAACAACGTGGCGGACGGCAGCACCGGAACCGTAGGGCAAAGTGGGCAGAGCTCTGTTAAGGTATCTTTCAATGGCCGCCTTGCCTTCAATGCGTGTGCGAGTGGTAAAGTCCTGTAGGACAGCATCGAAAGTCAGAAGATCAGCCACGGCGGTGACATTTCCCCCGGTGAGAGATGCGTGGAGCTCATCTGCAGCGCGTTGGATACTCTCGTTGGGTTGAGATGCTACACGCGATTCGGCGAAGTCGGTGGGGAACTGGTCATCAGGCACACGGTACGCCGAAACAGGGTTGAGGCGTGAGTCCCAGTAGTCGACCTGGCGCAAGACCTTGCCGTCGCGGAAGTCGAAGGCAGCGATCAAACGCATTTCCGCGCCAAAGACGGCCGGAGTGTCGACAAAAGTGACCACGGCGCTGTTGGCATCGCCAACGATTCGCAGTGGGTAGGACTTCGCATCCGCGGTCCAACCGGCAACAACGGGTTCGAAGGTTGCTAGAAGATCTGGCTGAGAAAAGAAGGTGCCCAAAGTTGCGTCGACATAAACTCCTTTGGTGGTGTCAAAGTAGCCGATCCAGCGCTGAACGTCGTGGAGACTCTTGGCCGTAAAGTACTCTTGGACGATGTTGACGGCTTCGGTTGTTGCATAGCGCGTGTCGGCAACGTCGGGATAAACAGCACCCGACTGGCGGTGAACGATGGTTGGACTGGCTACGGATAGTCCGGCGATTGCAGGCAGAAGGAAGGTGGAGAGCATCTTGATGTGCGTGTTGGGTAGGTGAAATGCAGGTTTAGGAACTTGAGCTGGCTGACAATTTCAAAGACGTATGTTGATCCGACTGTGACGGATGGGAAGTTGCTTTAATAGGTAGTTTTGACTTGGTGCAAATCTTATTGACCGCGGAACTATTGCAAGTGTTGCCAAGCATTCTATTCCTCAACTCCTAAAACATTCCGGTCAAGATGGGCATCGGGAAGACAAATGTTTCTTCCTTCCCGAGCCGCGCGCGATTCCAATGCCAGATGCCTTCCCATTTCCTAACGCCGCGCGCGATGTTGAGCCTAGATGAGTCTGTGGTACTGGTTTCTGGTCATGCAGAGTCTGTGACTTCCTAATTGAATTGGGCGTGGCATTTTGCGCCTACAGTTGAGCATTAGTACGATAGTTAACAAGATTCCAGAATCCGTTTGTACACTTGAGATTCTTCTTGCCAAGCTCGGCTGTTAGATTATTGAGGCTTTTCCCGCCTCGTTGGGCAGACTATCTAGGCTTGGCAGCGGGCCGCTTCGGCAACTAGCAACGTCGTGCGACCGAACGGGCATTTCAACAACCCGACCGAGCGCTCCACGCACAGGTGCTAGTCAGTGAGGTTATTGGATGATCAAGATGGTTCGTATTTACTGATCAGGCTTGTATCATTAGTGTGGTGATATAAAGAGCAATCCAAAACAGCAAATGTGATTTTCGTGATCTTCACTGAGGTCAAGGTTATCGTTTCATTTGCAACTATCAAGACACCGCTTTGGCAGAGGGCAAACATCATGGTCACCTATCTGCGGCTCCTGGCCGCTTTGGCTCTCATCAACCCTCTCGCTGCTATGCCCACTAGCAACCAGCTGGTTAAGAGACAAACCAACAACACATGTACCCAGCCTTTGGTTCGGAAAGAATGGTGAGGGCTTTTCTTTCTTCACACCTCTCATTTTCTCTTGCCTCGTTTTTTTCACCAGCTCAGTAGTCATTGACTTGTACGCAGGCGCACGCTTTCCACAGAAGACAAAAAGTCTTACATCGACGCTGTCAAATGCTTGTACAACAGGCCAGCTGTCAACTCGAAGGAAATCCTTCCTGGAGTGACCAATCGTTATGAAGACTTTGTTGGAGACCACATTCTCCAGGCCTCTGCGAACCACTTTGTGGTAAGAGAGATCTATAAATCTAGAAATAAATGTGCTTTTGTACTAACATAACATGTTTTTGCCTAGGGTCACTTTTATCCCTGGCATCGCTTGCTTGTGTGGGCCTACGAGCGCGAGGTACGGCTTTGCGGCTATGAAGGAGCTCAGCCATATTGGGATTGGTCCTTGGATGCCGCCAGCTACGATGACATGCTCAAGTCCCCAGTTTTCGACCCTGATACAGGTTTCGGTGGGAACGGCGAATGGGTGCCTGGTACACCTGAAGATCCCGAACCTGGCATTCCCCTGACCGGTGGCACCCTTGTCTTCAACATGTCTGACCGGACTGGAGGCGGGTGCATCCCGAATGGCCCCTTTGCCAACCTTACACTTCACATGGGGCCCCA